GCAGTCCTCTCAATTAATGTTTCACTTTTGTAATCTGAGAAATGTGTTTACTAACCAAAAGAAAAGCTCTGACCCTGAAAATTAAATAGAAAGGAATTTCATGGCAGTCAACCAGCCCTAAATACTCTGTACAGCTGCTTTTGCTCAGTGACACAAATCTCACTGAGAACCCTCAGGCTTCACTATTGATTTTCCATTTACTACTAAAATTCTGCCTAGACCCTCCCATGGTGTACAAACTTGGATTCTTGTATATCCTGACTTTACCTGAGTTGCATTTTCTGGACCTTGACTCCATTTTATCTAAGATCGGAATATTTGTCTGTACTGATCCTGGACTCGACTTGGTGAACTTGGACATGTTAGCATGTGCCCAAGAAAATATCTGGATGTCCTGGACACAGGCAGAAAACCTTTGCTCTGCATCAACCACACCTCACTATTTAAAACCTCACAAAACTTCCAAGGTTAAAGCTCTTTATTATAGGGTCTTGGATTCTATTGATAATTTGAAGGTCTGCTGCACTCTGGCTGGGCCCAAAATCATGAGCCACTGAAGCAGGAACAAACTTTATTTCTGAACTCCACCAGCACACTCCAGACACGCTCCCCGGGAATTCTCCCGCAAACCACGCACGCAGTGTTCTGTTGCGACACACTACATGAACAGGAAATCCCTCCTGCAGAATTTTCTCCTACCGATCTTCCCCAACCAATGGGAACTCTCCGGGAGTCCTGCTAGAGCTTCAAACTAGCAGGCCTAGGCAGACAGCAGGGGTCTAATCTCCAATTGAATGCATATCTTAACATAATCATTATCTTCTCAATGGCTTGCTGGAGTCACCTTTCAACCAAAAATGCCATGCGCCATTTCTACTTGGCTATGGCTCTCAGCATCTCCCCACTTCTGTTTAATTAAACAACAAGCAATGTGGCTTAGGGACCATGCTTGTTAGGTTGTCCAATACAACATATGGTCCTTACACGTCATCGGATGAGCTGACCTCTAGGCGTCACCCTCCTGTCTTAGGTTGGTACCACTGAAATTGGATCATACTCGTCACTGACTACCAGTCCAGCATACAACCATATTTGTGGATAGGTCTTTGCACCAGTGTGTGTGTGGGGGGCGAAGCTCATTGCCTCACCTCTGTTGGCCCCCAAATTTGGCCTTTACACCGGTGGGGGGGGTGAGATTCTTTGCCTCACCTCTCTTGGCCCTCAAACCTCAGACCATCACTCACAGAAGGGAGGAGGACACAGAAATGCCACCACACTAAGCCAACTGACGGCATCTTCGAAAAATTATACCACCAGTGACACCATTAGCAAAGATACTCCAGCATTACCACAATTCACTGTACCAACAGATAGTTCACAATGTATACAAGTATACAGTTCAAAGCAGAGGAATCCATCAATATGTCCATTTCCTCCCAAAGTAAATCAACTCCTTGATTGAGCATTACTTGTTGAGTTATTATTCATTGATGCATCGGTTTATACAGTTTGTTGTGATAACTAAAGAAGAAGCTACAGTTTGGTTTTATCTTTGTCATCACCGGCACTAGGATGAAGATAGGAATTCTCGCAACGATGGCTAAAAAAAAAAAAATATGTAACATTCCAACACGTACTAAGAAAACAATTTTCTGAACAATTTACATTATCCTGAACAGAATTATTAAATATAATGAAGAGGAAAGGTGAAGGTAAACAAACAGATCTGTTAACCTCCTTTTCTGTTCACATATTAAAACAATCCTCAACAGCTGTTTACCCAATTTAAATTAAACCATTAAAATCACATGAATAAAAAAAAAATTCGGATCCATTTTTTCATGAGCGCTTCTCATATATGATATATGGACATATGCACATACAGACATACAACACAAAACAGAAGTGTGCACACAAACGTACAACACATAAGACAATCATAAAGGCCTTGTAGCTTTACCTAGGTGAAATCTCCATTGCAATGTTTAAAAACTCCACAGTCAAAAAATAAACTGAGGAGATCCAACATGGCAGCGGGCGCAGAGAGATCAAGTCTCTGACCTCTTCAGCTGCTCGGGCATAGGGAGTCTTAAACCGCCCAAATGCTGTTTGCTCAGGATCACTAGGCAATGCTGAGCTAATGTGGATCTGGGACGAATAGTCTGAGCATCTCAGAACACACACCAAGCACAGAGCGGTGGAATTCAGGCTCTTGTACCCCTGTGTCTCACAAACAAACCGCTGTGACTCAGCGCTAAACGATACAGCTGAAACAACTGGTCGGCCCTTTTGAACCTGCGGAGGTTAACACCAATGGAGCCTTCATAGGCAGTGGCCACAGGATTAAGACGGGGCTTGGGAGAGCCAGTCAGGACCCACCTGTTGCATTGGTCACCTGGCAAAGGGAACGAACTGTCCCCATTCCCATGGGATACCACCATGGCAGAGAACTGACATCACCAGAATGTGGCGGAGGAGATAACTTCATTGAAACCAGTGGCAACGGCATCAATTAAATTTATAGGAGTAAACAGTAACTCATCAGTCAAACAGAACAAGAAGTAACATGAGCAGCATGAAAAAGCAAGGAAGAAAAGGAGTACAAACAATGCCGGACAGCCTAAATACTCAGGAGGACCTAGAGGCATCAGAAAAATGGTCAAATAAAGAACTCAAGGAATACCTTAGACAGATGGAATGGAATCTTAAAGAGGATATGAGACAGAAAATTCAAACAATGAAAGAACAGATTGAAAAATGAATTACATAAACAGATAAAAGAAGAAACTAAGCATCTTTATCAGGAGATAGAGATTATTAAAAATCAAACAATAATTCTAGAAATGAAGGAAACTATAAACCAAATTAAAACTGAAATGAGAGTATCACTAACAGAGTGTAGCAAGTAGAAGCCAGAACATCAGATAATGAAGACAAAATATATCAACTTGAAAAGTGTGTAGCCAACTCAGAAAGGCTGCTAAAAAATCATGAGAAAAACATCCAAGAGACATGGGAAAACATAAAAAAACCAAACTTAAGAGTCATTGGGAGAGACGAAGATATAGAAGTTCAAACCAAGGGAATTAGCAACCTGATGAATGAAATACTTATAGAAAACTTTCCAGAAATAAAAAAGAAAACTGATGTACAAATTGTAGATGCATACAGGACACCGAGCATACAAAATCACAGTAGACCAAYGACAAGACACATTGTTATGAAGATATCCAATATACAGAACAAAGAGAAAATATTAAAAGYTACAAGAGAAAGGAGGCAGATTACATTCAGGGGTAAACCAATAAGGTTAACAACAGATTTTTCATCACAGACTCTGAAAGCGAGAAGATCCTGGAACAACGTATTTCAAACACTGAAAGACAATGGATGCCAACCAACAATTTTGTATCCAGCAAAATTAAGCTTCAGGTATGACAACAAAATAAAAATCTTTCATGATAAACAAAAATTAAAAGAATTTGCAGCCAGAAAACCAGCATTGCTAAGCATCTTGAGCAAAACACTACACGAGGAAAAAATGAAAAACAATAACCAAAACCAACAGTGGGAAGTACTTAAGTAAAGCCAAAGGGCAGGGGGAAAGCTAATCATGGAGAAACAAACCAAATTTTAAAAAAAGAGAGAGAAATAATCAAACATGGCTGGAAGTACAAACCGTATATCAATAGTAACTCAAAACGTTAATGGCTTAAACTCACCAATAAAGCCACATAGGCTGTTAACATGGATTAAAAAAACAAATCCAACAATATGCTGCCTCCAGGAGACACATCTGATTTAAAAAGACATACACAGGCTGAAGGTGTAAGGTTGGGGAAAAATATACAATGCACACGGTCCTCGTAAGCAAGTAGGGGTGGCCATCCTCATATCGGATAAAATCGACTTCAAGACTAAGTTAATCAAAAGAGATAAGGAAGGACATTATATACTGTTAAAAGGAACCATTCACCTACAAGACATAATAATTATCAATATTTATGCACCAAATAAGGGTGCTTCGACGTTCATAAAACAAACTCTCCTAAAGTTCAAGAATCTAATAGACCACAACATAATAATTATGGGTGACTTCAACACACCTCTTTCACCATTGGACAGATCCTCCAAACAAAAGTTGAATAAAGAAACTATAGAACTCAATACCACAATCAATAACCTAGACTTAACTGACATATATAGAATATATCAACCATCATCAAATGGATATACTTTTTTCTCAGCAGCACATGGATCCTTCTCAAAAATAGACCATATTATGCCATAGGGCAACCCTCAGTAAATATAAAGGGGTGGAGATAATACCATGCATTTTATCTGATCATAATGGAATGAAACTGGAAATCAATGATAAAAGAAGGAAGGAAAAATCCTATATCACATGGAAAATGAACAATATGTTACTGAATGATCAATGGGTTACAGAATACATAAAGGAGGAAATAAAAAAATTCTTAGAGATAAATGAAAATACAGACAAAACATATCAGAATCTATGGGACACAATGAAAGCAGTTTTAAGAGGCAAATTCATTGCCTGGGGGTCATRCCTCAAAAAAAAGAAAAAAACAACAAATAAATGAGCTCACATTTCATCTCAAAGCCCTAGAAAAGGAAGAGCAAAACATTAGCCAATGTAGCAGAAAGCAAGAAATAAAGAAAATCAGAACAGAAAAAACGAAATTGAAACAAAAGAAACTATTGAAAAAATTGACAAAACTAAAAGTTGGTTCTTCTTAAAAATAAATAAGATTGACAGACCCTTAGCCATGCTAATGAAGAGAAGAAGAGAGAGAACTCATATTACTAACATACGGGATGAAAAACACAATATCACAACAGATGCTACAAAAATACAGAAGACAATTAGAAATTATTTTGAAACCCTATATTCCAAAAAAATAGAAGATAGTGAAGACATCGATAAATTTCTTAAGTCATATGATTTGTTCATACTGAGTCAAGAGGATACACACAATTTGAACAGACCAATATCAATGGATGAAATAGAAAAAGCCATCAAAAGACTACCAACCAAGAAAAGCCCAGGACCGGATGGGTATACAGCGGCATTTTACAAAACCTTTAAAGAAGAATTAATACCAATACTTTTCAAGTTATTTCAGGAAATACGAAAAGAGGGAGCTCTTCCAAATTCACTCTATGAGGCCAATATCACCCTGATTCTGAAACCAGACAAAGACACCTGAAAGAAAGAGAACTACAGACCAATATCTCTAA